ACACACAGGATAGTCTAAGACGCAATAAATTCATAGATTTGTTCTAAACAGGTACATGAATCTGGGGCACACGCCATGTGCGGCAGCATGCAGAGACCGGAGTGTCCATGTGGATGCAGCTGTCAGACAATACAGCAGCCAGGGAATTTTGGTAGCCTGCCATTTTTATTGACAGCAGTCAGTGGGCGGACTCATATCCTTTAGACAACCTGCTATTGGCTGAACAATCTGCCCACTGCCTGCTGTCAATGATGAGGAGAGAGCAGAACTGATAGGGAACTAGTGTCTCAGCTTGTCCATCAGCCTCCACCCACTCTCAGCATCACTGGTTGCTAGGTGGCTGTCGGCAGTGAAGTCAAAAGCATCCTTAGCAACCAGTGAAAGCCACGGAGGGGAGGGGGTAGTGGCAACAAACATGCAGCCTGTTACACAGCGTACAGAGATAGGCACTCTGCCTGTCTCTGTATGCCAGCTTAGAGTTGGTCCTAATCCCCTCAGTTTTGATATCTATAAGTTGGAGGTATTCCATTTTGAATTTGGTGCACTGGTAGCGCCACTGTGCCGCTCTTAACCACTTGCTGACCAATGTGCATAACAAAAACGTTCTGTCCCTATGGATGATGTCCGATGTGGAGGGAAGTCCTGGCTATGTGTTTGAGGGGGTTCTTGCTTTTTTTCAAGCCTCATGTTATACGGCTTGACAGAGAGGCCGGAACTCCTAGGACCGCATAGCCTGAGCCCTAGAACATCCTCTGGTGTTTGACATAGTCCTTTGGGTTCCTCTGGAGTCTCCTTGCAACCAAACAGTGCTCTGAACCCCCTAGGCCTACCCAGCCAGCAGCAGTGCTGCACAGTCCCTGGACTGGATGGCTCTGCTGCTGGGTCCCCTGGAGGTCCTTATGCTCCGCATGCCTTCACAAACTTACTGAGTTGCCAATTAGTTTTTATCACACAATCGATGTTTCATTGCTGTACTTAGATGGCGCGTCTCACAATGTGCATTAGAGGCTGCAGCAAGTCAGATAGAGCTCCGCCTCATTTCCTGTATGGAGGACGTCCGGTATCATCTAGCGGAGGAACCGGGAAAGGAAAAAGGATGAATTCATTTCAGTTTTAAATCTTATATGTCTCTTATAAATCAGTAAAAAGATACATAAAATATAATGAATGATATTTATTATTGATACTTCTATCCAGCTCAATAGATTACTTTAAACATCGATGTGTTTCTATATCACAAGATATAAATGTCTACTAATATCTACCAGAGGCATCACTGTGGATTGTTGATCCAGAAAGTATCCAATTGTCTCAGGGGATCAGGAGGAAAAGTTTCCTGGTTGCAACCATCTGGATCGTGTCTTATCTGCCTTCTTCTGGATCATGTCTTCTACTCCTTCTTCTGGATCGTGTCATGGGCCCCTGGGCAAAGTAATGCAGTGGAGACCCTATCAGTCTGCATCAGGTGTCCCCATCACAGTGTCTCCTTACATCAGGTGTCCCCATCACAGTGTCTCCTTACATCAGGTGTCCCCATCACAGTGTCTCCTCATTAGGTGTCCCATCACAGTGTCTCCTTACATCAGGTGTCCCCACATGTCACATTAGTGTCAGTGTCTCCTTACATCAGGTGTCCCCATCACAGTGTCTCCTTACATTAGGTGTCCCCATCACAGTGTCTCCTTACATTAGGTGTCCCCATCACAGTGTCTCCTTACATTAGGTGTCCCCATCACAGTGTTTCCATCCATAAGGTGTCCCAGGGGCGGGCTGACAACTCATGGGGCCCCCGGGCAATAGGGGATCATGGGGCCCCTGTGTCCTTCCTCAAAAACTCAAAAAAGTCTATGAAAAAGGTACCAGGGGCATCTCATGGGGCCCCCCACTGACCCCGGGCCCTCGGGCAGTGCCCAAGTTTCCAAATGGTCAGTCTGCCCCTGAGGTGTCCCCATCACCGTGTCCCCATCCATCAGGTGCCCCCATCACAGTGTCCCCATCCATCAGGTGCCCCCATCACAGTGTCCCCATCCGTCAGGTGTCCCCATCAATGTGTCCCCATCCATCAGGTGTCCCCATCCATCAGGTGTCCCCATCCATCAGGTGTCCCCATCACTGTGTCCCCATCCATCAGGTGTCCCCATCCATCAGGTGTCCCCATCACTGTATCCCCATCCATCAGGTGTCCCCATCCATCAGGTGTCCCCATCCATCAGGTGTCCCCATCCATCACAGTGTCCCTGACATCAGAGTTGTGCTCCTCTCCCCCTTGTATTCACAGATCCCAAGTGCTGTTTCCTTCTTGAATGAAGTCATCTCCTCCTTACTCCCCCGTGCTGAGACTGAGGTGAGTAACTCGAAGTCAGTCCCATTGCGGCCTCACTTACGCCTCCTGCAGGTGGGAGGAGAAAGCTGAATTCTTCCTCCAGCATCAGCCAACTGCTTGTTCTTACTGGAGGAACAGTCACTCCTGTCAAAGAAAATCGGCACAAGCGGCCGAACCACCAGTGCAACCCCAACACAGCGCCTTGGTTTACCCCTTGTCCTACCCCTGATCATGGGGCCCCCATGCACCTGGGGCCCCTGGGCAGTGCCCAGTCCTGCCTCTGGATCTTGTCTTATTTGCCTTCCTCTGGATAAGCTGTGTGTCCAGGTTCAGCCCTTTTTTTACTGATTTTATTCTTCTGATTGATTTTGATGTGACTTCCCCCCCCCCCCCCCCCCCCCCCCCCCCCCCCCCACCCCCCCCCCCCCAGACTATATGAGTATATAGACACCATCCTCTTCAAGGTTCTGTCTGGAAGGCAGAGGCTGGACTTGCTGAGACTTGTAGTTCATCAGCAGCTGCAGAGAGGGACAGTAACAGACTAAAGAAGATCCGTCTTCCCAACGGCAATGACATTTTCTGGTCTGGATGTGAGAATTGGAAATGCGCTTTAATACAACACATCCCGGACGTGTCACCGGAGAGCGGCTTCTATCCAGAGCTGGGATCAGTGTGCCCAATGGGGAGGGGGGGGGATTATTTGCATTTCATCATCTTCTATCCTTAAAGAGGAACTCTACTCCAACTAAGAGCTTATAGTGGACCTTCAGCCATTCAAGTAACTTTCTTCCTTCTGGCTCCTCCCCCTTCCCACTCCAATAATTGGAGCGTATTACTTTCCTTTTAAATGCATTCTGAAGTTTTTTATTGCTGCACTTTCCTTTCCCTCTAGGTGAGGATGACGTTGTCTCCTGGGATGTCTACGTAACGTACAGGGGCGGACTGACCATTCGAGTACTCGGGCAGTGCCCGAGGGCCCGGGGTCAGTACGGGGCCCCATGAAATGCCTCTGGTACCTTTTTATAGTCTTTTTTGAGTGTGGGCAAGGACACAGGGGCCCCATGATCCCCTATTGCCTGGGGGCCCCATGAGTTATCAGTCTTGTAATGTACATATACATACATACAATATTGCCCCAAGTATTGGGCTGCTGGACTTCCCACACACATGACCTTTAATGACCCCCCAGTCTTAGTCCGTAGGGTTCAATATTGAGTTGGCCCCGCCCTTTCCACGCACATGACCTTTAATGGCCCCCCAGTCTTAGTCCGTAGGGTTCAATATTGAGTTGGCCCCGCCCTTTCCACACACATGACCTTTAATGGCCCCCCAGTCTTAGTCCGTAGGGTTCAATATTGAGTTGGCCCCGCCCTTTCCACACACATGACCTTTAATGACCCCCCAGTCTTAGTCCGTAGGGTTCAACATTGAGTTGGCCCCGCCCTTTCCACACACATGACCGTTAATGGCACCCCCAGTCTTAGTCCGTAGGGTTCAATATTGAGTTGGCCCCGCCCTTTCCACACACATGACCTTTAATGGCCCCCCAGTCTTAGTCCGTAGGGTTCAATATTGAGTTGGCCCCGCCCTTTCCCACACAAGGTTAATGGCCCCCCAGTCTTAGTCCGTAGGGTTCAACATTGAGTTGGCCCCGCCCTTTCCACACATGACCGTTAATGGCACCCCCAGTCTTAGTCCGTAGGGTTCAATATTGAGTTGGCCCAGCCCTTTCATAACAGCTTCAACTCTTCTGGGAAGGCCGTCCACAAGGTTTAGGAGGGTGTCTATGGGAAGGTTGGACCATTCTTCCAGAAGCACATTTGTCAGGTCAGGCACTGATGTCGGGGGAGGGGGCCTGGCTCGCAGTCTCCGCTCTAATTCATCCCAAAGGTGTTCTATGGGGTTGAGGTCAGGACTCTGTGCAGGACAGTCAAGTTCCTCCACCCCAAACTGGCTCCTCCATGTCTTTATGGACCTTGCTTTGTGCACTGGTGGGCAGTCATGTTGGAACAGGAAGGGGCCATCCCCAAACTCCTCCCACAAAGTTGGGAGCATAAAATTGTCCAAAATGTTGCCTTAAGAGTTCCCTTCACTGGAACTAGGGGGCCAAGCCCAACCCCTGAAAACCACCCCCACACCATAATCCCCCCTCCACCAAACTTTACACTTGGCACAATGCAGTCAGGCAAAGTACCGTTCTCCTGGCATCTGCCAAACCCAGACACGTCCATCGGATGGCCAGACAGAGAAGCGTGATTGGTCCCTCCAGAGAACACGTCTCCTCTGCTCTAGAGTCCAGTGGCAGTGTGCTTTACACCACGGCACCCGACGCTTTGCATTGCACTTGGTGATGGAAGGCTTGGATGCAGCTGCTCGGCCATGGAAACCCATTCCATGAAGCTCTCTATGCACTGTTGTTGGGCTCATCTGAGGGCCACACCAAGTTTGGAGGTCTTTAGCTATTGACTCTGCAGACAGTTGGCGACTTCTGCGCACTGTGCGCTTCAGCATGCGCTGACCCCGCCCTGTCATGTGACGTGGCCTACCACTTGGTGGCTCTTGAGAGCGACCCATTCTTTCACCAAAGTTTGTAGAAGCAGTCTGCATGCCTAGGGGCTTGATTGTATACACCTGTGTCCATGGAGGGGATTGGAATACCTGAATCACATGATATGGAGGGGATTGGAACACCTGAATCACATGAAATGGAGGGGATTGGAACACCTGAATCACATGATATGGAGGGGATTGGAACACCTGAATCACATGATATGGAGGGGATTGGAACACCTGAATCACATGATATGAAGGGGAATGGAACACCTGAATCACATGATATGGAGGGGATTGGAACACCTGAATCACATGATATGGAGTGGATTGGAGCACCTGAATCACATGATTGGGAGGGGATTGGAACACTTGAATCACATGATTGGGAGGGGATTGGAACACCTGAATCACATGATATGGAGGGGATTGGAAAAACCTAATCACATGATATGGAGGGGATTGGAATACCTGAATCACATGATATGGAGTATGGAGGGGATTGGAACACCTGAATCACATGATATGGAGGGGATTGGAACACCTGAATCACATGATATGGAGTGGATTGGAGCACCTGAATCACATGATTGGGAGGGGATTGGAACACTTGAATCACATGATTGGGAGGGGATTGGAACACCTGAATCACATGATATGGAGGGGATTGGAAAACCTAATCACATGATATGGAGGGGATTGGAATACCTGAATCACATGATATGGAGTATGGAGGGGATTGGAACACCTGAATCACATGATATGGAGGGGATTGGAACACCTGAATCACATGATACGGAGTGGATTGGAGCACCTGAATCACATGATTGGGAGGGGATTGGAACACTGAATCACATGATATGGAGGGGATTGGAAAACCTGAATCACATGATATGGAGGGGATTGGAAAACCTGAATCACATGATATGGAGGGGATTGGAAAACCTGAATCACATGATATGGAGG